TAGAGAGATAGATGTAGACCCAATAATTCGTAGTTAATAATTTTGACACCATATATTAATTGTGGAATTAACCACCACAGATTAACGTTCTGTCCTCTGTAGTTTTTTTTTTTTTTTTTTTTTTTTTTTGTGTGTGTGTGTGTGTGTGTCTGAATTTTGTTACATACATATGCTCAGCCGGCAAGGTGTCTATCAAGTACCTCTTGTAACCGATCCTGATCTCCCTATTCCTTGAATTGGCGGGTAAATGTATTTTTCTTTTTAATACAATTTATATCGATACTGTTATTATTGTTATTGGTGTTATGATTATTAAATTGATATTTGATTCTTGGTAATATTAAAGACAATGAAACAATGCAAAATACCCTTTCCAAAAGTCCAGGAAAAGAGTAAACAGGTGAGATAGGTCTAGTAACTGACTTCTTGGTGATTAAGCACTTGTAGGGCCATCTATTCTTGCCATACGGCACGATTGGGTCAAGGGTGTAAGTTGCATGTGTTGCAAGCAGTATGAAGCCCTGATTCAAAGTATGGAGACAAAAGGCAATCTAGCAAAGCCTTACTCCTTGGAGCTGCATAAATAGTTTAAAATGATTACTTTTATCTTCGCACCAAAGCTTTATATGGAATATGAAAAAAATAAGATCTGGATTTTTTTTTTTTATTATTATAAAAGTTGCTATTTATTTTTGAAATTCAATGAGGATCAGATGGCGTTATAGTGAGGTAATTGCGCTACAGAGAAAATAGAGAAAATATGTAGAATAAGAATTTTCAGTAGAAAAGCTAGAAATTCTAATAGAAATTTTAGTGGTAAAATTAAGGATGAGCCCTGGGTTGAAATAGACTATTCCTAATTAAAATTCGTTAATTTAACAATATGGCAAAATTGGTCATTGTATATATATATATATATATATATATATATATATATATATATATATATATATATATATATATATATAATGATACATAATAATTAATATTATTACATATAGATGGGTCACATGCACACACACATACGTATGTGTGTATGTCTGTTTAACCCAGCTATATACAATAAGTTGTGCAGACCAAGAAGGCCATGGAACAAATCGTGTTTGACCGACAACATCCCCGCCAGGCCAAGGAACTTACTGATCGCAGTGTTAGGAAAATGAGCCACGGTTCTAACACTCGCGGAAGTTATATGCAGTTTTAAGGAAGGAGAGAAGGCACACAAAGAAAAAAGAAGCTAAGAAGAGACAGAGACCAGAGAACTAGAGCAGAAAAAAACAACAGGGAAAAAAAGAAAGCCACAGCTCAGAAAAGTAGATGAAAGAATGCTGCTGCTGATTATGATGAAGATTCATCAAATATATCAGGTGGAAACTATTGTTCAGAAAAGTCTCGTGGCTCATTTTTGGAGTCACAATGATAATGTAGATAAGGCTGCTGGAAACACAGAACTAGAAAGGTCAAAATCCACCACAACCAAATGTAGCAAAATCAGTGAAATTTGATAATGAATCCATAAGCGAGTATTTTGTTGTTATTTATACTGAACCAAAAAACAGCAAACAACATTGGGATTTTTTCAGTGATTATGATAAGTTGTCTGTGGACAAAGTTGGAATGGTGTTTCTTCACCGCAAGGCCCATTCTTCCAAGGCCGAAAAGATAGCATGGCAGTGGCCATCAGTGGAGAGGGCAGGTAAGACGTGATAACATGTGGTAGTCGTGGACTACATTTTCATTAGGCTTTTTCCCCTGACTTTTTAAAGATCGTACCTACAAATCTGATGCTGTAAAGGCAAATGAACTTGTGAAGAAATTGTGGCTGTATAGTATTTGTGTTTACTGATGATTGATGTTACTGATATATGTTTACTGATTGATATATTACTGTACTTCTCATGCTTAATGATTTGAAAAAAAGCAAGAACGGAGCACTTTTTTTATTTATTTATTATTATTTTTTTATTATTATTATTATTTTTTTATTTTATTATTTTTTTTTTTTTTTGAGCATTATGTTTACATTTCATACAACTGACCAAGGTATTTCCTAAACTACATTAGGTGTGATTTTTTTTCCCTTTATGACAAAATATTTTCCCCATGGCATGGGGTATAGATTTTTTTTTTACAATATGGGGCAATAACTTTGCCTGGAAACATTGCAAACTTTTCCAAAAGAATTGGGTTAGATTCCCCTATTTTCATTATATAACTTTTTTGTATGTGTTTTGCGTGCATGTGTATATGTATACACACATGTATGTCTCTCTCTCTCTCCCTCTCTCTCTCTCTCTCTCTCTCTCTCTCTCTCTCTCTATATATATATATATATATATATATATATATATATATATATATGCATGTATGTATGTATATATATATGTGTATGTGTGTGTGTGTGTGTGTGTGTGTGTGTGTGTGTGTGTGTGTGTGTGTGTGTGTACGTGTACGTGTGCGTGTGCGTGTGTGTGTGCGTGTACATATATGCATGTGTTAAAATCGAAGTTATATTCATTTCCTAAAAAACAAATAACTTAAAATACAGTGCCTGGCCTTTCATATCCAGCTAATGCAACACACGTTCATCTAAAAGGCAAATCACCTCAGGAGGCCCCTCTAATTAATGTCATAGAGCCACGATTTCCTGCTTGTTTGATGGCAGTTGCATTAGAAAGTGATGGCGAAAACTAGTTACACGGACATTTGAATTTATAACTTAGGTGTTGCACATTTTCATAAAGAAGCTATTGGAAAAAGACGTACTTTTTATGTACGTTACAACTTTGGATTCTCTCTCTCTCTCTCTCTCTCTCTCTCTCTCTCTCTCTCTCTCTCTCTCTCTCTCTCTCTCTCTCTCTCTCTCTCTCTCTCTCTCTCTCTCTCTCTCTCTCTCTCTCTCTCTCTCTCTCTCTCTCTCTCTCTCTCTCCTCTCTCTCTCTTCTCTCTCGCTCTCTCTCTCGCTCTCTCTCTCTCTCTCTCTCTCCTCTCTCTCTCTCTCTCTCTCTCTCTCTCTCTCTCTCTCTCTCTCTCTCTCTCTCTCTCTCTGTAATTCTTCTTATCTACATATGGCACTGTTAAGGTACTAGACATTTAATATTATGGTTAATCTTACCAAAACAGACAAGCTTCCGCCTGCACACACATCGGATGCACAAACTCGAACAAGCCAGACATATCTGCTGGGATCCTGGATATTCTTCTGTCCTCTTCGTCTACATGTTCTGAGCAAACTGAACCAAGCTACCATACCAGGATAACCTCTGCCCATCCATCATCTGCATACATCCTCTCCAACAATGAACTATCAAGAAAGAAGTCAGCTGTTGGACTCTACCCCGTCTGGCCAACAATCGGTCAGATCCGAAAATCGGCTTACCTGCCCTCTCTCTCTTTCACTCTCACTCGCATATGTATGTATTAGTGTGTGTGTGTGCGTGCGTGCGTGTGTGTGTGCGTGCGTGCGTGTGTGTGTGTGTGTGCGTGCGTGCGTGCTTGTGTGCGTGCGTGCGTGTGTGTGTGCGTGCGTGCGTGTGTGTATGTGTGTGCGTGTGTGTATGGGTGTGTGTGTGTGTTTATAAATTTATATATTATATATATATATATATATATATATATATATATATATATATATATATAATACCAAATGAAGAATTAAATTTCTGAAACCAGTGACTCAATTCCATTTCCGGTGTAGGCGTTACTATTGTACTGTACTGAGGCTGCACGTTATTTAGTAACCCATAACGCATAAGGTTTCTATAAGGTCGGGATCTATAGATATTTACGGCCACCCACGGCGTACCCATGGTGGCGAAGCCGGTGCTTGTATGTATATGTATATGTGTATATGTGTGTAACACACACACACACACACACACACACAGCATATATATATATATATATATATATATATATATATATATATATATATATATATATATATATATATATATATATATATACATATAAATATACATATTCATGTATATATGTCTATATATCTGTCTTATCAATTGAATTCTAAAAATATATATATGGAAAAGAAAACATACCTGCCACTGCTAACCTTTCTCCCGTAATGTTCCTGCTTCACATGCATTCTCCTTAGCCAGCAAGGATCATCGCTCCCATGTCCAGATATATGAAATTGGCTCAAAATCAAGAGAGCGCGCGCCAATATTGAATCTCGGCGTTCGTTATCTGAAGTATGTATCTTTATTTATTTCAGAGCCCGTTGTTCTTTTAGAAAGCCCTATATAGTTAAAGCTTATAGTGTTTGTTATTCATCTATATTTGTTCGGCATCACTTGCCATTTATTATGCGTGGAAGTCTTTATGAAATCAGTAGTAGTTAACTAGTTAATACAGATTCTAGTGTTCCCCCTCTCCCCTGACTACTGACTCACGACAGTGCAAGACAAGCTATTAATCTTCGTGTCATTGTTTTTGTGAAAATAGACACTATGCTGTCTTAATATTGCAACTTGTTTCATATCATTTGATGCTGAATAAAAAAAATGTAATGTTTTTTTCAAAATTATTATTATTATTATTTAATAACAAAAACACTGAGTTGACTGCTACAATGGATACCAGAGTGGTTTGAATTTAGGTTCGGCAGTAGCATTTAATTATTTATAGCAGTCCTAATTAATTATTTGAATATTCTGTTCAAAGACTAAAGGATTACTCGATGCAACATTTATACAAAAGCATTTCCCACTTGGAGGCTTGCGGGGTCTAGAGTTAAAACTGGAAAGCAAAGAATTAATATTACGACTTTAAAACAGAAACCCTTACGGCATTATTTAAAACAGCCAAGCACACATACACATACACAAACATACACACACACACGCACACGCGCACGCACACATACACATGTATATATACATGTGTGTGTTTATTTATATATGTATATATGTACATATGTACATATATATACATATACACATATGTGTTTGTGTGTGTATGTATATATACGTATACACATGTGTGTTTGTGTGTGTATGTATATATGTATACATATGCACACATATATATGTGTGTGTGTTTGTGTGTGTGTGTGTGTGTGTGTGTGTGCAAGCAAATAAATGGGGAATTATTAATACGCACACACACACACACACATACACACACACACACACACATATATATATAATATACACACATATATAATAATAATAAAAAAACGCGCACATACACACAGACACACGTGTGTGTGTGTATGTGTGTGTGTGTGTGTGTGTGTGTGTGTGTGTGTGTGTGTGTGTGTGTGTGTGTGTATGTCGAAGTAAACTAAGCTCGGCTGTCGATCAAAGTTACTATTGCTAAGCTTCACACAGGACAGTCTCATCGGTCGGTCCCCGATATAATGACAAATAATGACCACATGAAAGGAAAACAATGAGTGGAATAATAAAAAAAAAGTGTATATATATATATGTGTGTGTGTGTGTGTGTGTATGTGTATGTGTGTGTGTGTGTTCAAAGTCAATGATAAATTCAAGGTTCGGGAGATTTCCATCAGTAATTTTACTGCAGTATCAAGCGACAGTAGAATATATAATAACGCTGGTGTTGATATTCCTACCATTGTCATTTATAGTTTATATTATCATTATTATCACTTGTGTAATTATTGTTGTTGAAAGTGAAATGTTACTTGTAGTGTACGGCTGCGCACTCGCCGACTCTAAGGGCGATCTCGCCAGGATTGACATCGTCCTCGGGCGCCGAGTGGTTGAGGCCAGGTCTTTACCATACCACATGCCTGCCTCCTCTACCACGGAACAAGGGCGTGGGGAACTCTGCGATGCTGCCATTGACTTGGATGAGACGTCCCGGGATCCGCTTCCGCCAACGAGGCGGACGCACTCGCTGCTTCACCCACCATTCGCCCACTCGACTGGAGTGCGACTTCATAAGCCGTGGCCAATGAAATACGAGCCGCCAGAAACAGTGTGAAGAAATAATATGGACATGGCTATAAAAATAACCAAAGAACGTATTTTAAACCGAGTCTCGTTACTTGGAATGCGTTGAAGTCTCCGAGAAAAATAAAGATTTATTTATTTTCTAAGTCCAATAGCATGAATAGTTACAGCCCGAAATGCACAGTTTTCGCGTAAATTGTACATTACCAATTTTCCTAGGTATCCTTTCCTTTATTTATTTTTTTCAAATATTCTACCTCTTCGGTGACCCTTCCAAAGTGTCAATATAACCCCTGAAGAGAGTAATGGTAGTTACATTTTTTTTTTCTCTCCCTCTCACTTTTCATGGTTATTCGGGTCCTTTGGCTTGTTAGGACTACCAAACTATGGGGTTGGTCTTCCGACGCTTACTTTGCGTATCTTCTTTTCGCGCCATGCTTAGGGCATGGCCTGGGGGGTCTTTTTCGGTTCGGTCCTGACTTCTATAGTGAATAGTGGTTCCGCTCTCGGTGTTTGTGCTCGCTTTGGATTTACTTCGCTTTGGATTTACCTCGCTTCGAATTGGGATTGACGAATTCGTGTTTTTCACAAGCTAAGTATTATCTTATGGTTGTGTGTAGGAGACACCTGGTCTCTGTTGGACTTTGGCGTGTGACATGCTGCATTACTATTTGCAGGGTGCACTCTCTTCCACGAAATCCCAAAGCAGCACAGAGCATAAAAGGAACCACATCACAGAAAGGACACTATTGAGGATCCGTACCTCCAATGTGCCAATTAAATTATTACTTAGTTTTTTTTTTGTTTTTTTTTTTTGATTGTTTTCGTTTGTTTGTTTTGTTCTCCCCAGCTTGAGGATCCGTACCTCCTGGAAGAAAGAGCTTCCATAATTTCGCCCATATTTTTAGGACCATTTTAGCACTATATGTATATATGTGTATATATATTTATATATATATATATATATATATATATATATATATATATATATATATACATTTTTTTTTTTTTTTTTCTTTCTTTTTTTGTAATCTCCATTCTGGGTTGGAAATTAACTTATTTAAATTAGTGTTTAGTGCGTTTTCGAGATTTTTTTTTATGTGCCGTACAAGAGCCTGACACTGGCGACCATGTTGAATTCCATGGTTGTACAAGGGAGTGTGCTAATGCTCTGCTTAAAAATACTTGGGACGCCAACTTAGGGGTAAATATTTGTGGGTTATTTTTTATTACATCTGGTGTTGGTTTCCTCGTGCATCACACCCACTGTGATTAAATTGGTGATTTACACATCTATCCAAATTTCTCGTGACTGAATTATTTGTAGAACTCGCTAGTGAGTGCAACTTGCTCAATAAATATCATACTATCATAGAGCTTTCACTCATTCCCAGTCAGAAGAACAAATGACATCTGTGATCCCTTAAGTTCTGGCTCTCACTAAAGCTGAATGCATGGAACGTTCTTGGCCTTGGCTCTCCTAAACAGCACCTTGCTTGTTACTCTATCTCGCAACCCTGAAAGGCTGTAAAAAGGCTAGATGAATCAGAGTATATTAAGCTGATATTCTAGAATAGATCATAACTTTTGCTATACCTGAGTTCCCACTTCCAGCAGGTGGATGCTCAACCCGAAGGGAAGAGGAAGAACTCTATGATCTTGCATTTTCTTCCATACACGTCCACGCAGACGCTCAGCCTACGCTATCTCCCTTTTCACATTTACACACTTATCCAACATTCAGCACACACATTCTGTATTTTCCTTCCACCCTTCTCTCATACAACAGTCACAGCTCCATACACAATACACACGGTTCCCGAACCTACTAATCGGGTGGTGACAGCGTGCCGTAGGCCTGAAACCTTACACCTATTCACTACAGACGAATCTTTTCCTAAATATTTTTCTTTTTTATTCTCGGTCGAGCCCGAACTCAACCAGACACAGGAAAATCTACTTGGTCTACGCCCCGCTACTTCACTTTTTAATTCGTTTCTATTGTGGTATATACAGATTTTATTTTAACTGTGTACTCACACACACATACAAACACACATACTCACCCATGCATACACACAAATACAAACGCGCACAAACACAGATAGATGCATGTGTATATGTATACGTATATATGTATATATATATATATATATATATATATATATATATATATATATATATATATATACATATATATATATACATATATATATATATGTATATATATATATATATATATATATATATATATATATATATATATATATATATGTATGTATATGTATATATATATATTAATATATATTTTCAATATATTTTTGTTTATATATATGAACACACACACACACACACACACATATACATATACAACACACATATATGTATGTATATGATATATATTTATATATATGCTTATATATATATATTATATTATATATATATATATATATATATATATATATATATATATATATATATACGTATATACATATATGTCAACATCAACATGCACATGCACATTTATACATATATATTTATATGTGTGTGTGTGTGTGTGTGTGTGTGCGCGCGTACATACACACACACACACACACACACACACACACACACACACACACACACACACATATATATATATATATATATATATATATATATATATATATATATATATATATATTATGTATTCTAGATTTAAAGAACGCGTTCACACAAATTCAGTAATGGAAAAGAACCATTAAGCTTGTGCTTATATGCTGTATATATTATTGTTTTCACATCTGACCATGAAATTAGTTCCAACACAATAGCAAAATCTACCACACACGCGTATACATACATATAATATACATATAGTTGTTGATGTACTAGCTCCTGTTTGCTCAAGACTAATCCCATGTATATTACCCAAATACCTTGTTCGCCTTGAAGTAAATGTAATAAGCAGCTTTCAGGATTACTGAATCACCATGCAGCTTGAAATCTAATGTAACCCAGAATACGCTGATGCAAGGAGAGCAAACATGTTTGTTTTCAGATGTTGAGAAATAGAGCTGTTGCAAGCTGGGATGAAAAAGTGTTGCAAATAACAAACTTTTATATAAATCAAATTATTTGATTATTGCTTATTGACACAAACAGTCACACACACACAATATATACATATATATACACACACACACACACACACACACACACACACATATATATATATATATATATATATATATATATATATATATATATATATATAATTATATATATATATGTGCATGTGTGTGTGTGTGTAAATATATAAATATATGCGTTTGTGTGTGTCTGTGTAAATATATGAATATATTTGTTATTACGTCCTATGTCAGAAGAGTCTTTACTTTCATCTCATACGCAGGTATGCATGAAAAGTAAACTAATATAAATGTTAAACCCATATAAAAGGAACTGCAATAACCCAGACAAGTCGCTGTTTTTATCTCACACTCGGAGACAGAGAAAGAGGCTGGGGAAAATTCGTGGGAGGGCAGCACGCCATGATTCCGTCAGCTCAGTGCCATTTCTCTCTCCCTCCCCCCCCTCTCTCTCTCCTCTCTTTCTCTCTCCCCTCTCTCTCTCTCCCCTCTCTTTCTCTCTCCCTCCCTCTCCCTCGCCCTCTCTCTCTCTCTTTCTCTCTCTCTCTCTCTCTCTCTCTCTCTCTCTCTCTCTCTCTCTCTCTCTCTCTCTCTCTCTCTCTCTCTCTCTCTCTCTCCTAGACCGAGAAATCATTAATCAAAAGAAAAAAGAAAATGTAATAAAATAAAAAAAAAACTTCATAAGGATTTATCATTATTGAAATCTGTCCATTTTTCCTTTAGGCTATATTTGCATTTCTAAACTGATCATCAACAACGTCCATAATAAACTGCTTAATGTGGACAAGATTCATAGTAACAGACTTCTTAAACTAAGTATTGAATTAAAGGGAAAAAAATAGACAAAAACAGGGTAATTTTCCAATTTTTCCAATAGAATCTCAACCGAAGAACAAAAAGATATTCTTTCTCATAGACTGTATTATTGTATGCTTCCTAATAGGGTTTTATTTCATAAATTTTATCTGTATTTCGAAAAACTATGTAATAATCTCAAACAGTGTGATATTCATAATAACACCTTCAATGATGTCACCAATAATATAACAACAATATCCAATACTTTCAGGAAATTCTCTAGTCAAACTAAAACCAATGATGCAGTAGTTTT